GCTTCTCCCTGTACCTCTAGTTCATCGCCCAGCTCAACCGAGTCTGTGCCCCCAGATCTCTCGTCTCTCCTGGCCTCTCGTTCCTCACCCCCGCTGCTGGAGGTCAGAGGGTTGGCATCCCCTGCTGCGATGATCATCCCTACAAGGGTGATCCCTGCTTCTGGTGTCACCCCATCCCCACTCGGCAGGGTTGCCTTCCCCAAGCACGTCAGATCATTTCACTCACTGGCTTAACCTAACAGCTCCTCGGGACTCCCCGTTGTTGGGGAGACGTGTTCAGACTCCTTAGCGTGGCGGAGCACGGTCTCCATGGTGAGACCGGCGGAGGTGCCCCAGGGGGCTCTGGGGCCAACTGTGTGCGAGGCTGGGGCCCGAGTCCTGGCCCATTTGCCCCCCGTGTGCGACTGATCCCATCTCACACCCTGCTCTCAAGTCCCGCTCCGCCAAACACATCTTCTGCTCGCTAAGATGCCCTTCCCGGCACCTGTCCTCCTGTGCTTGGGGAAGAGTCCTGACTTGAGAATCAAATGATCCCCCATGGCCCCTCCCATCAGCCTGGCAGACGCCTCCAGAATTTCAAAACCTCAGCCCACCATCACCAGCATCTCCCCGGTGAAGCCTTTCCTTCCCACGACAACTGGCCTCCCTTTGGGGTGCCCACTCTACTCTCTCCACCTCTGTCTTTACTGGTTTTTTCCCCTACTCGTTCTGTCAGTCCCTCCGTGGAGGACTGGCTTCTCTGAACCCCCAGCATCTGGTATCGTGCCTGGCATCTAGCACATGATCGAGCGAATGGGGGAAAGTGGCGAGCAAAAGCTCTGTTTGCCAATCTGTAAAATGGGGATGATGTCCTGGCCACAGAGAGCAGGGGGCATTCGGTTACTGCAGGTGGCCGTCCAATGGACCAGTAGGTGGCGCCGTGACCTACGAATGAGGTTTCCTGGGGCCTCCCAGCCCTGCGTCTGGAGTGTGGGTTGTCAGGATGAACTAGAAACCCAAATCGGACTAATCAAATCTCCCCCTGAGAGGTGACACCCCATGTGGCCCCCGTGACTCAGGAGGGGCTGAGGAGAGGCTCCTTTGGGCAGCCTCGAAAAAAGGGATGTGCCCTCAGGCGCCTGGGTGGCTCAGTCGTTAAGCGTCTGCCTTCGGCTCAGGTCATGACCCCGGGGTCCTGGGATCGAGCCCCACATCGGGCTCCCTGCTCCGCGGGGAAGCCTGCTTCTCCCTCTCCTACTCCCCCTGCTTGTGTTCCCTCTCTCGCTATGTCTCTCTCTGTCAAATATATAAATAAAATATTAAAAAAAAGAAGAAGAAAAGAAAAAAGGGATGTGCCCTTTCCCTCCCGCTGTCCTCACCTGGAGGGGTCTGTGGAGTTAGGCACCTCAGACACTTGGATCTGGGGCATCAGCTGACTCAGTCCCCCAGAGTCCAGGGTGGAAGGGCCGTGGTCCTGTTTGGTTAAGAACGTGACTTTGGAGCTGACCTGGCCTGGGTCCGAATGCCCGCACTGCCTCCCCCTTGGAGTGTGACACCGAGACGTTACCTTTCCCGAGCCCCCTCTGTAGTTGTCAACAACAGAGACTGTAGAGAAAGAGAGAGAGGGCCATAGAGGAT